GGGGTGGGGGGCGGGGGGTGGCGGCGTGGAGCCGTGCCAGGTGCAGGGTCTGCTGGCTGGGTGCTGGCAGGCTTGCACCTGGCACGGGAACCGTAGCCAGACTGTGCCCCTTTAAGGGCTCCGGGGCCGGGAGGGGGGCAGACAAGTTGCCCTGGTGGTGCCCAGAGTGGCCACCAGGGCAAGCTGGGGAGGGCTAGCCTCCCACTAGTTTGAATTAAATGGCTACACAGCCCTTAATTTGAACTACTTAATTCGAACTAGGCGTTAGTCCTCGTAGAATGAGGTTTACCTAGTTCGAATTAAGCGCTCCGCTAGTTGGAATTAAGTTCGAACTAGCGGTTTGCCTGTGTAGTATTACCAAAAATGTTCATCTGTATGACTGTATTAACCTTCCCTTTTATAGTGGTGATATGCATGAAATAAGTCCTGTATATAAAAAATAACATACAAGAAAGCTTGTGTATGGATAAAATGCTCTTGTGTAACTAAAGTACATGTATATAAAATCTTATCCATATATTAATGCAGACAATTTTGATATTTTTCAGTATTCCTGCCAGTTAGTATACAGTGCATGATGCTGGTTTCAAATAGAAAAGAAAGATTTAATACCTGCATTTCAATCCTTTTAGCCTTACACCTGAAATTGTCAGTACGCCTTCTTCCCCAGAAGAAGAGGAGAAATCCATTCTTAATGCCACTATTCTGATTGATGACTCCATTGCAACAACTAAAATTCAGATTAGATTAGCAGATGGAAGCCGTTTGATACAAAGATTCAATCAAACACACAGGTAAACTAATGTCATAGAGGTACAACAACTAACCGTGTTTCTTTCAGTAACATTTTATATCTAGTAGATAGAAAAGGAACTAAAGTAGCAGCTGGCATATAAAAAGGACAGAATGACTTTACTAATTATGAATGTTTGCAATAGAGCAATACTAGAGGTAGAATAACACTTCTGGGGGTAATCCAATTCACTCATTAGGAACTGCTAAATTCATATAACTTTCATCATCCAAGATCATGCTGGCTTTGTTTGGCTGGCTGATGTGTGCTATTCTGCACTTACTTACCCATTCTAAGGGCGTATTTGTGCAGAGTTTGGCAGAGTTATACTGTTGTCACACTTTCTGCTCATGTGCGTAAGAGCTGTGATGGCAGAGGGTAGACAGTTCAGGCTGGGATACAGTCAGCAGAAGGATTTTTTTTAAAACGTGAATAGTACAACCTCTCTTTTTTTCCCCCCTAATTGGTTAAGAGCAAGGCAGCTGAGGCTCAGTCCAGTTAAAATAATGGTGTTGCTGCTAGGCTGGAAGTAAAGCTTTCTTGGAAATAGATTTCCTGTCCCATTACAATTTTTGTAATGTCAAAAATACTCACATTCTGTATAGGCACAAAAACAATCTTTTGAGGTAGTTGCAAAGAGCCAAAGAAAAATAAATCCCATAATAGTCAATGTAGGGTGCAAAGGACACTCACCTGGGATGTGGAAGACCATGTTCAGTTCCCTGATCTGAATCGAGGAGAACCAGACTCGTAGTTGGATCTCCCGCATGCAGCTGAGTGCTCTAACAACTGAGTGTCCTGCTTGTCTAGAAACTGTCAGCAAAAGTACTTTGGATGACACCATAACTTCGGATGACACCGAGTCTACTCAACACGCGGTCCATGGGCTGCATGCAGCCTGTGGTGCCTTGAGCTGCTTCCTGGGCTCATTGCTGGGGCTCCAGCAGCAGAGCCAAGCACTGAGCCGTGCAGCTTTGAACCAGGCTGTGCGCGCAGGAGCTGCCAGCCAGCTGGGTGGGGAGGGAAGGTGGAGACAGCAAGAGGCGGCGGCAGAGCACGCCTGCCGCATCTGCCACAGCAGCAGCACCTCCCCACAAGCAGAGCCATGTCTGCGCGTGTGTGGGAACTGCCAGCCAACAAGGAGGTGGGGAGTGGCAAAAGGTGGCGGCAAAGCACATCTGCTGCATCTGCCACAGTGGCAGCGCCTCCCCGAGCCAGGTCACATCGGCATGTGCAGGAGCTGCTGGGGGCAGCAAGAGGCGCGTGGCAAGGCAGTGGCAGAGCTGGGCAGCAAGACAGCGATGCAGTGGCGGAGCCAGGCAGTGAGACTAGAGTGAGAGAGGTCTGGGTGGGGGCTTGGGTAGTAATCAATATACAGGCAGTCCCCGGGTTATGTACAAGATAGGGACTGTAGGTTTGTTCTTAAGTTGAATCTGTATGTAAGTCGGAACTGGCGTCCAGATTCAGCCGCTGCTGAAACTGATCAGTTTGCAAGACAGCGATGCAGTGGCGGAGCCAGGCAGTGAGACTAGAGTGAGAGAGGTCTGGGTGGGGGCTTGGGTAGTAATCAATATACAGGCAGTCCCCGGGTTATGTACAAGATAGGGACTGTAGGTTTGTTCTTAAGTTGAATCTGTATGTAAGTCGGAACTGGCGTCCAGATTCAGCCGCTGCTGAAACTGATCAGTTTCAACAGC